TTAAATTTTAGTTATTAACTATTTTCCTTATTGAACTACGCAAGAAATCATAATATTTAGGGAGGAGTTTGTGGAGGTTGCTATACATGTTATAAAATAGAAGTTTTCAATTGTTTCTAATAATAAATATACGTTAAGATATAATCTTTTTAACTCTAAGCACATGAAATAGTAGTACGTTTAATAACCTCAAAGCACAATTATATAACAACATGGAACACATCCAAATTCGTGATTTAAATGATTCCAAGTAATTGGGTATTAGCTTACCTGTTAAGCTGAATAATTATAGGAAGGTTAAAGTTACTAATTCTTAGTTTACTTCAAAATTCTAAATAGTAGTTCATATATAATTTTAAAAACTAACTTTATCATATTAACATTTTACTCTATATAAATCATTTGCCATTTGTACTCTGTAACATAAATATTTTTTTGTAAATGAAAATAAATATCATTATTCATCTATATTATATCAAAAAGGTAAAGTTGTAATATTCACTTATGCCAAAATTTCATCTATAAACACAAATCAAGAAATGGCTTGAAAATTCTATTCATGGGGTCCATGAATGCAGTTGGAGCATTTGTCAACCCGAAGGACATTTCTAGAAATTTATAGTGCCCGTAGCGAGTTCTAAAGGCTGTTTTAGATATATCCTCTTCTTTGATTCTCAACTGGTGGTACCCCAACCTCAAGTCTATTTTTGAAAAGTACTTTGCACCCTGAAGTTGATCAAATAAATCATTAATTCTTGGTAGTGGGTACTTGTTCTTAATGGAAACTTTATTCAACTGCCGATAGTCGACGCATATTCTGAGAGACCCATCTTTCTTCTTGAAAATCAGGACCAGGGCACCCCACGATAAAACACTCGGCCTGGTGAAACCCTTGTCAACAAGGTCTTTCAACTGTTCTCTCAACTCATTAAGTTCTGCTAGAGCCATCCTATAAGGAGATATAGATATGGGCTGAGTGCCTGGCATGAGATAAATGCCAAAGTCTATGATTCTTTCGGGAGGAAGTCTGGGAAGGTCATCTGGGGAAACTTCTGGAAATTCTCTAACAACTGGACAGACTGAAGAGCTGGTGGTTCTGATTCTGGATTAATGATGCGAACCAAATAGGCGAGACACCCTTTACTGATCATTCGTTGCGCCTTAAGGTAAGAAATAAACTTACCTACAAGCGATGCTGAACTACCTTTCCACTCTAAGACTTCTTTATTTGGAAATTGGAACCTGACTATCTTGGCACGACAATCTAATATGGCATAGCAGGAAAACAGCCAATCCATAACCATGATCACATTGAAATGCACCATTTCTAACTCTATGAGATCTGCCTCGGTGCTGCGACCTTGGATTGAAACTATACAACCTCTATTGACTCTTGTGACTCTCACTGACTCACAAACTAGAGTAGATACTAGGAATGACTTACTAAGTTATTCCGGTTCTAGCCCGAGGTTAACTTCAAAGTATAGAGTCACATATGAAAACGTTGAACCTGGATCTATTATGGCATAAGCATTATGTGAGAAGACTAGAAGTACATCTGTAATAACTTCTGTAGATGCCTTTGCACTCTGACGATCAAGTGTAACAAACAAACGGGGTTGTCCCCCTCCTTAAGTAACTCGATCTGCACCTCTTCCTGCCCCATGCCCGGTCTGATTATGAGAACCACGAGCCTGAGGTGGTGCAACTGCAGTAACTGAGGAAATCGAAAGACGAGTTGATCCCCTACTGAAATTTACGTCTCAACTTTGGGAAGTTGACCTTTATATGACCAATGTCTCCGCAATGATAGCAACCATGAAACCCGAGCTTGCACTGACCTGAATGCTGTTGCTTACATATTCCATAAAGTCTGTGTTGTTGTGAATGTTGCTCAGCATGACTCTGGCTATATGAAGATGATGCCCTAAAATTCTGATTTTGGGGAGACTGATTTCCATTACTTTGAGTACGTCTAAGGAAGACCCACCACCTAACTGATGAGTGGACTGAGCTGGTGCTAATGACTCCTTATCAGAGGAACCCCTTCCACCTCCACTGGATCTACCATTAAACTTGCCCGTTGTCTGGGCTTTCTTGTTATGCTCTTTCTCTTCTCTCATTTATTGTATGTTTTTATAAGTGCTTGGCGAATCTCACAATAGAAGAGAACGCTGTCATTCTTACCGCTGCAGCTGATGTCGTATCCTTAATGTGGTAAGCCAAATTGCCAACAAACTTGCAAATCTTTGCTTTTTCTGTCTTAACCATGTGAGGAGCATGCTTAACTAACCTTATGAATTCCATGTAGTACTCTTGCACACTTTTATTCCCTTGTTTGAGCTGTTTGAACTCTGTAGCCTTAGCGTCCCTATCCTCTTTCGGGATAAAGTTAGCCATGAATGCCTCTTCAAATTCTTCCCAAGTAGGCGGACCATCATCTTCATCTCTTTTCTTTTCCACATCTCAAACCAAGCGTCAGCCATATCTCTAAATTATACCTTAGTCTTCTCAAAGAACTTCTTGAGACGGTAGAGTCTCGTGTTAATAATGTGTTATGGAATAATAAAAAATAAAGTAAAACAAGAGGAATTTAGAGGAAGATAATTAATAAACTTTTCTTGATTGATTACATTCTTCAAGTTTTTGGGCCTATTTATAGGAACTTTTGCATGGAAGGATTTGGCCACTTGTCCAAGGTCTTGACACTTGTCGAAAAGGCTTTGCCACTTGTTGAAAGTCTTGACACTTGTTGAAAGACCTTGCCACTTATTGAAGTTCATGCCACTTGGTCATAATTTGCTCCCAAGTAATTTTATAATACATGAACATTTACACTTAATATTATTTATAACAAAAACCTTATTTATTTTGGAATATTGTCATCTCTAAAAATAAAGAAAATAAATGGTTAACGAGAAGTTGATGAGATTATCATCAGAAGTGCACAAACGACATAAAAATACAATTTGAAAAAGTTTGACACACACGTATAGTCCAAATTTCGTTGCCAGTTAAAAATCAACCTCTTCATTTCGATTGTAGTGTATTTGCATTTTTATTTTGGAACATATTTTTCCGGTTGAAGAATACATGGTATAACTCGTTCCTCTTCCGGACTTCTTATAACGTGATCGAAATTTATTGGTCTTAGATTGATTTGTTAATTTGAAAACATTTAGAAAAACATTAGCTTCGTCCGGGGAATTAAGTAGGAAAAGAATATCGGGTTTTCCCCCTTATTTGGACATGTCACTCAATTTAATATTTAGTGAGGTTGTGATCCAAACCGATGTTGTCCATCTCATTGAAGAAGTATTAGGCATGTGCCTAATAAAATTTTCTTTGGTTTGGTAGCCAACTTTGTCGACTTGGTTTGGTTAGGTAGCCAACCTTGTTGAATTAGTTTGGTTTAGTAGCCAACCTTGTTGAATTTCTTTGGTTTGGTAGCCAACTTTGTTGAATTGTAAAAAGTGTGTAAATTGTTAAATATTGTAGGCTTTAGAGAGTGAAGTTTTGGCTATAAAAGGAGAGCTTCAACTCTCATTTATACACACAAAAAACACCAACAAAGAGAGAAAGAAAGAGTGAGGTTTCATAGACAAGGTATAAGAAAATAGTAAGTGAGAAAAATAGAGAGTGAGCGATATTGTAGTGAGGTGTGAATATCAAAAGAGGGTTATTTCTTTTGAGTGTTGTAGTGGTCTTTGGAGTATTTTACTCGGGCCTACAAAGCATAAAATTCCTTACTATAGTGATATCAGTTGCTCCTCTCGGGGCAATGGTTATTTCCCTTATTAAAAGGGTTTTCCACGTAAAAATCTTGGTGTCGTTGTTACTCTTTTATTCTTGTTAATTACCGTATCTCGGTGCTACATTATTATTCCGTTTTTATTACCGTGAATATTATTTCTGTGGGGCTTTATTCCCAACACAAACACCCCTTGGACTCAATAGTGTAAGTTGTAAATGCTATTTCGACTTAGCTTTTAACTTGGTGTGTTAGGAAAGTCCAGGAGGAATAAGATTTGAATGCAATTACTTTAAGTGCACGATTTTGGTACTATTTCTTTTTTGTCAGAATAGCCTCTAAGCCACCTAAACTTGCATCAGATTTTAAAGCCGATATATAAACTCTCATTTTTCCCAATCTGATACCCCAACGCAATAAAAATGCTTATGATAAGCCTCTCTCTTAGAGCGTGTATCTCAATTACTTGACATGAATGCTACGTCAGATTCTCAGACCATTTATTATTTGACACTTGTAATTGGTGTGTCCCGCCTTTTTCCAAAATCAATTTATTAAATTTTTATTTTTTCTTCTCTTTCCCTTCTTTTATTCTTCACCAAGCTCTTCCCCCACCCAGCCACCATTTCCAATGGTAAAAGGATCCATTCAAAGTGGGTCTTCACAATGTCCAAAAAATCATAGTCGAAAAAACACCAAAAAGAAAGAAAAATAATTAGAGTCCAATTTTGAAACCCAATATCAAAATAAAGAAAAATCATTACAACTTCAAGAAAAAATACTGTTCTCCTCCTCAAAGCATTTGCTAACCTTTTGTAAAACCAAAAACAATGGGTACGATTGGACCCAACCCATGAATGCAATGAAACTCGTTCCTTTTGCCTTTTTTCTTGTTTGGCTGGAGAAAATTATACCTAAATTTCCAATTTGATGTGATATATTTCATGGGGAAGGGGAGGGCAAAAGGATAAGGGGATGCTACATTATCTATGTTAAATTGATAATAGCTGAAGGAGGAGTGTGCTCACACTTTCCAAATCTAAAAAAGAAAGTGACTTAACCAATTGGTTGAATGACCCACCTTGCTCTGTAACGCAAATGATCATTTAATTGCTGCAAATGATAATATTTTTCATAGTTTCAAGTGCAAAATATTTCAAATTAAAAAAATTTATCTATAAAGACCATTGCAAGAGTATCAGAAATTCAATCCCGGCCCCTCCCGATAGATATGTTGCACTAATAGCCGTCATTGTTGATTACCCAAGTTTTTAAGCTCAAGATCTCCCAACTCCGGATAGCCCAACTCCAACTATACAAAAGAGAGCAAACAAATTAGAATAAACAACAAAACAATATCTATTAATGAAAAAAAATAAATATAAATTACATACCATCCTCATTAATGAAAAATAAAAGAATATATCTATTCCCACACTCTTTCCACTGGTAGGACACATAAACTGTTGTTGGAGCCTTAAAATAGAATCACATGGCTGGCCAATATATGCTTCCTCTCTTTCCTTTAACTTTATAGTGCAGCAAACCTGACATGCGTTTATATTTGCTATCTATTTTTCTACTATGCAATTTCACAGGTTTTGACATTGATGGAAAAAGAGGACTTTGCGAATGATGCATTAAGCACTTTACTAAACCATGGGACCGGTGCATCTGATACAGGATCAAACAATTCTTCAACTGCGGGTCAAGGACGTCTCAATAAAATTCGTGGCCTAAAGCCAAATTTTAAAAAGGGGCCTTTTTTTTTCTTTTTTATTTTGTTTATACTGTAGTTATCTTACAAAATGTAGTACTAATATTTACTTTAGTTTTTTTCTTTCATTTTGTCTGTAATTTAGTTATCTTACAAAATATAATATGTAGTACTAATAGTTATATTGGTAAGAAAAGTCAAGTTACTAAGATGTTAGCCATGTATTTACAATGTGTTACCATGGATCTTATTTTAAAAAATATTATTTACAATATGAAGATTTTAGTATCTTAATTCAAAGTTCTAAAATATTTCTATTGCTAAAAATAGATAGTCTTTATTTCTACTTGTATAAGGAGTTTGTATAAACTTTAATATTGTCTAAGAAAAAATAAGATAAAAAATTTACAATTATTTTTGGGGCCCCAAAATTTAGGAGCCTAAATCAAATGCTTTACTAACCTACCCCTTGAGCCACCCCTGCTTCGGGTTGCCACATCCTTGGTACCATGCGATATCCAGTCTGTTGAGGGATCGGTGCGACAAGTTGAACTGGCTGTGTTTGTTGAGGAACTGTCACCGGTGGACGAGAAGCTATAGTTTGCAAAGGTTGTGGAGTAGGTTGCCATGAAGATGGTCCAGCAGGATCAAACAATTCTTCAACTGCGGGTTGCCAATATCCAGTCTGTTGAGGGATCGGTGCGGCAAGTTGAACTGGCTGTGTTTGTTGAGGAACTGTCACCGATGGACGAGAAGCTATAGTTTGCAAAGGTTGTGGTGTAGGTTGCCATGAAGATGGCCCAGCAGGATCAAACAATTCTTCAACTGCACGTTGCCAATATCCTGTCTGTTGAGGGATCGATGCAGCAAGTTGAACTGGCTGCGTTTGTTGAGGCACTGTCACCGATGGACGAGAAGCTATAGTTTGCAAAGGTTGTGGTGTAGGTTTCCATGAAGATGGCCCAGCAGGATCAAACAATTCTTCAACTGCGCGTTGCCAATATCCAGTCTGTTGAGGGATCGGTGCGGCAAGTTGAACTGGCTGTGTTTGTTGAGGAACTGTCACCGGTGGGCGAGGAGCTACAGTTTGCAAAGGTTGTGGAGTAGGTTGCCATGAAGATGGCCCAGCAGTAGTGGTATTTGGCAGAACTGTGTGATTACGGAGCAAAAAAGAAACATTACTATTAAATTTGTTTAATATAAAAACAGCTCAGGACAAATAACCCCCTAAAACTGAAAATTTGTTTTATTGACTACCTGAAGTAAGGAAATATGCTTTAACTTGCTCAAGCTTTCCTATAATTTCATAAACCTCATTGGGTTGTCGGGTTCTTCCTTGTTGAAGATGACAACATTTGATCCAACATAACTTTTACATTATCCATTCTGTCCATCTAATCTTTATCATATTATAAAAGTGGAAAGCTCAAAAACTAAAAATTGAATTACTAAATTACCTTTCTAAATACCTAAATAATTTATTTTTAAAATTAAGAAATAAAACTAACGCTACAACCAGTCCTAAATCAGTGCTTCATGCCCCTCTATTAATGGTCACAACCATTCAAATTACAAAGCTAAAGTAACAAGTCATCATTTCCCAAATATAAGAAATAAATCGTTACTTCCCAAAGCTAAAGAAACAAATCATGACTTTTCATTCTTTTAATACCTTTCTATAAAATATTCATAAATTATTTTGATACACCAACATATAGGCAAAAAAACGTAACCCATTTATTTTGATAACACCAACATACCAACAACAACAATACACAAATCTTATGTTTCAAATCTGTATCTTATCTCATAGTCCGGTGCAAAGGGTTACCTTTTAGATTAAGTAGATAGATCGATAAGTGTGGAAGAAATGAAACTTTTTTTTTAATTCCTCTTTATCATGGCTTTATAATAAGTTTTTGATTTAGTTTCTTTCCTTTTGGTTTATATTGGAGATTATTAAAGAGAAATGAGTTTGATTTCTGTGTGATTTTTTCCATTCATTTGTTCATGGGAAAGAAGTAGAGGTCAATATTATCATTTGGTACAAAATATGTCTAGGAATGGAAATTAAATAAATAAAAAATAGTAAAAAGTTATAAATTTTAAAAATATATATGTCTAGCTTTCATTATTTTCAAGAGCATCTGGATAATGTGTAGTATATTTGTGATTGTTTTATCATAGCAGCAGTGGCGGAGCCAGAATTTTCGTTAAGGGGTGTCAAAATATTTAAAAGTATACATACCAGAAAATTAAGGGGAGTCAATACATAGTATATATACATATAATTTATTGTTTACCTACCTGTACAGTGTATTTTTCCCGCGAAAGGATGTCATTTAATACCCTTCCTATAAGGTGGCTCTGCCACTGCATGGCAGAGTTTTAGTTATTATAAAGTTCAAGAACGTATTTATAGTTGGCCCCAAACCTAGGAATAGAGTATATGATAATCCTTAATTAAGAAAATTATAAAAAATAATAAGATATACGATTAAAAAGTAAATTGATTATCAAGCTATCATATTATATTTTTATAGATTAAAAAAAATAGAAGATTTTGCTTTTTGCTCGCTTGAAGAAAAAAAAGACTACTTGTCTCAAATAGCCGATTATTTGTGTATTTAAGAATAAATAATAAAGAAATTTTCAAAATAAAAAAATAAAAAAAACTTTTAAATCATAAAACGTTTATGTGTTATTACTGAAACTAAAAACTAAAAAAATAATAATCATAAAACGGTTTTTTTTTCCAGCCGAAAGTCTCGAAAATAGTATCTCTGTTCTCCAAGGTAAGGGTAAGGCTGCGTACATCACACCCTCCCCAAACTCCACTTTTGGGATATCACTGGGTTTGTTGTTATAATTTGTAAAATTGAGTAATGAAATTGTAAAACTTGAACAAAATTTAAGTTTTGATTATATTGACTAAAATGATTGATGACTTCTAAGGTAAAGTTACTTCCTTCATTTAATTAGTTGGCCGAATAGAATCATTATTTTTGTACTTACACTTTTGTCTTCACTTTTATTCTATGGATCAAACATAAATTTTAATATAATATTTATATTACTTAAAATTTTAGACTTAGAAACACAGAAGATACACGCACAATGCACGTGCCGAGAGACTAGTAGTAACAAAAAGCAAGAGAACTTATCATTAAACCAATATATAAATACAAAAAGAGCAATGCTTCATTTACTAAATGAGCCACAGAGCCTTTAATTCTAACCAAAGTAAGGGTGTTAAACGGGTCGGGTTGACCCGTTACCGGATTGGCCCGGACCGGAAATAACCGAAATCGGACTGGCCTGGTACAAAGGGGCCGGGTGGGGCTGGGTAGGAGGGGTAGAGGGGGATGGTCCGTTTAGTTTTTTAAAATGGGTAATCGGACCGGTTAACCCGATCCATGTGAACAGTAACCCTTACCGGGTTAACCGGCCCGGTACAACGGCTAGAATTTTTTTTTGTTTTATTTTAAATTTTTGAATTATGTGGGGCCCACTGACCGTTAGCAATGGTCAGACCTGGAATTGGTCCGTTGGCCAATGGGAGAATTGCATAAATAGCCTATTTTTTTTAATTTTTAACTCTTTTTCAAGTTACAAAACTAACCTTCTCTAAAACGATAAATACCTCCCCTTCTTCATTTCTTCACTCAACTCTCATTTCTCAATCTCAATTTCTCTCATTCTCCAATTTGCAAGACTTCAAGTCTTCAATTCATCTTCTAATTTTATTTGGCTCTCTTTTCTTGAATTTAATTTATCGTGTTTTATCATTTGGATTTTGAAGTTTGAACATTTGAAGTCCAAAATTGAAATACTTGCTTGACGTTTGTTCGTGGTAACATCAGAATTGCGTAATCAAGTGCTCAATTTATTGTCGAATTCGATGCACTCCCTCCAACTCTTTCTCTTATTTACTATTTGAATTACATATTTAATTTTAGCTTATACTTTAATTTTTACAATATGTTTAATGCTGCTAAAAGAGCGTTTAAAAGAGTTACTGGTCGGGGAAATAAAAAAAGAGGCAGTCCTTCAGCATCTGGTAGTAATAGTAATAACCATTAACATTTACACATGTTTCCGAAACATCGCCTAATGATAATATAGATATTGATTATGAACAATTACAAGAAGATTTTGGAATAGAAGATAATGAAATAGGAATGGAATGTAACGACCCGAATTTTTGTTTTAAGAATTTGCTTCTCGTTCAACAGCTTAAGACCTCAAAAAGCTTCGTAACATTTGTTATAACTCGCGTGTGTAATCAAGTTTGGTTTTCGGATAATTTGGAATCAATTGGAAGAACAAATTCTAATTTAAGAAGTTTAAAGAAAATAGTTGACCAGAGGGTTGACTTTTATGTAAATGACTTTGGAATGGAATCTTGATGATTCCAATAGCCTCGTATGATGATTCTGGACTTATGCGCATATTCTGAATTGGATTTGGAAGTCCGTATGATAATTCGGCGCATTTTGGCAAAAGTTGGGAAATATATGATTTTTGGAAAGTTTGACCGAGAGTTGATTTTTGATATCGAGATCGGAATCCGATTCCTAAAATTGGAATAGCTCCATTATGTCATTTATGACTTGTGTGCCAAATTTGAAGGCATTCCGGATTCAGTTGATATGTTTCGGCACAAGTTTTGTAAATTGAAAAGTTTGAAACTCATAAGTCCGAATCGAGGTGTGAATTGACGTTTCAACATTTGCTTGGAATGATTTGAAACCCTAGGTAAATCCATATGATTTTTTAAGACTTGTTGATATATTTGGTTGAAGTCCCGAGGGCCTCAAGTGGATTTTGGATGGTTGATGGAGTTTAACTTGGGCATTTCAAGAATATTTCGATGTCGTTCTTCAAGAATAAGTGGTATCATATTAAGAAAATGATCTCCAAATTCAGTTTTAATTAAAGCATTAAATCCGTATCGAAATTTCGGAGCTATAGCAAAAAGAATCGTCAAATTCGGACATTGTATGAGTGAGTTATGCCCATTTTTGTGTCGGGAGAAAATAATTTCCCATCGCCAGCGCCCAGGGTAGCGCGAGGCGCCATTCATGGCGCCAAAATTATTTTTGGCTACTGGAACCAGCGCCACAGGCAGTGCCCGAATCGTAAAATTCTATAAAACGGGGGTTTTGGCCATTTTTGACAAAAATAGAGTTGGGGGAGCTCGGTTTGGGCGATTTTCAGAAGGCTTTTCACACATTTTAATGAGGTAAGTGTTATTTATCATAAATCCTTTATAGATCATGATTCCATACTTATTTACATTATGAATCCATGAATTTATGGATGAAAATCAGATTTTTACCAAATCTTTCAAAGACGAAAATTTAAGATTTGAAAGCCAATCCGATGTCGGAATTCAATAATTTTTGTATGGTTGAACTCGTATCGGAATAGGTTATCACATTTTTTGAGTTTCGTACGATTCCGAGAAGTGGTCCCCACAGGCAATTTTTGAGTTAAATTTCGAGTTTCAATCCGGAAAATTAGTAAATTCATATGGAACTAATTTCTACTATTTGTATTGACTATATTAAATTATTTGTGACTAGATTTGAAGCCTTCCAATACGAATTTTCAAGGCGAAGGTTTATTGGAATCTTGAATTTGGTTGCAAAGCGAGGTAAGTGTTTGGTCTAAACTTAGCTTGAGGGATTAAGAGTTGTGTCATATTTGTTATGTGTTATTTATTGAGTACGATGTATAGGCATGGTGACGAGTATCTATACGTTGGTGTCAAGCATGGCCGTGAGTCTTATACTTTGATTAATGTGACTCCGTTTCGTATTGTATTTGCTCTATATGATAAATTCCATTGAAGAATATGACTTGTGAAAGTATTATTGTTAATTGAACATGGTAGAGCGTTGGCTCAAGCTGAGAATTTAATTGTTGAACATGGTAGGGCATTGATTCAAGTTGAGAATTGAATTGTTGAACATTGTAGAACATTGGCTCTAGTTAAGAATAGAATTGTTGAACATTATAGAGCATTGTTTCAAGTTGAGAATTGAATTGTTGAATATTGTAGAGCATTGACTCTAGTTAAGAATAGAATTGTTGAACATTATAGAGCATTGGCTCAAGTTGAGAATTGAATTGTTGAACATTAT